TAATTCTTCTCTCCATTCTTAATGATTGAAATTTATTATGACTTTTAAGGTAAAAAAATAATGATTTTTAATATATATAAATAAATTTTAATTATTAAAAATAAATAATAAATAATTAAAATTTTATATAAATGTAAAGGGTAATATTGATGTGTTATAAAAACCACTCAACAGGGACATTTTACATTCAACACCTCAACTCTGCGAATTAAGATTGAAAATCAAAATTCCACCGAACACTTACATGGAGTTAAATTGAGCTGAGTAAATCACAATTAATTAAACATAAACAGACTCATATTCTGAAAACAATAGATGTACACTGCCATCGGTGCGACTGGTACAGTGCGTGATTATATTTACACAGTGCCGCCGCCATTGCCATTGCCATTGCCATTGCCGCGGCCGTCTTCTACATTAAGAGATCGTTCACCCACCCAATATCGGGGGCATTTTCGCTGAGCTTATCATGGTCGCCGGTGAAGCCTCTGGTGAAGGAATCTCCGGAATGATCGGAAGGGCTGGGAACAGGGGAGAGACGGAATTGTTGTTGATCATCGCCATTGAAGCAGACGTCGAGCCAGGGAATGTTGGAATTCATGGTGCTGCTGCTCCTTGGAGAAGAGATTTCATTGAAATTCATGGCTTCGACGGAACTCATCAGCTCGTTGAGAACGTCCTTGTAGGTGGCGACTTCGGAGCCGAATTTGCTCAGACGGTCGCAGTAACGGGAGACTGGCGAATATCCAGATAGCGAAGGTTGCTTTTCAGGAGATAAAGGCGGTGAAAGAGACGGTGACCGGGAGAGATGAGACAGACCCAACAGAGTACTCGTGGGAGAAGACGAGATAGAGTGGCAGAACAAGCAGCAGTGATTCTTGTTCACCGGAGAAGAGCAGGAACTGGCGCCGTTCTTGTACTTCGGCGAAGGCCCCTCCGGCAGGATTCGAAGCTCACGAGGAGAGTGAGCAAAGAAGCAAACCTTCCGCTTGCAATTTTTCCCATCCTTACACGCCTCTGTTCTATACCGGGTTGGGTGAAGCCAACACTCGAACACCCCGTGTGCAAACTCACACTCATCCCCGCGAGGACACCCGCTTCCACGGCGGAAGTCAGAGCAAACAGTGGATGAGTACCGGAACCGCCGCGGGTCACGGCGACGGGCCTTCTCCCCCGGATGGGCAAATGGGCAATCAGTCCAGTCGTGACTCCGGCTCCTAGTGCACCTCCGGACCTTAAACTCATACATCCTGAAATGATCAGTGGAATACGGATCAGAATCAGATTCAGATCCATATTCGTCCTCATCACCGGCATTGTTGGAAGGGAGCAATTTCAGGAGGTTGGTTTCATAGGGGGTGGAAGAGGAGGAGGAGAAAAGGAGCTTCCTTGGGGGGATTTCCAACAATTCCTTGAAGGGTTTTTTGTGGGGTTGGTGTGAAGGAAAGAACTTGTGTTGCTCGGCGCAAATGGTACTCATTTTTCTGGTGTTTGGGAGAAAGGAAAGCAGGGGAAAGGAATGTTTAGGGAAAGGGATCCGAAGAAGGGATATATAGGGAGAGAAATGGAAGGGAAGTGAGGAGGAAAAGCCAAGGGAGGCGTGGCAGCAGAGTATTAGTGATGAGCATGCAAAAATACATAGGTGGCAGCTTCACAATGCGAGGGCTTGGTTATGTGTAATGTGTATAGTCGTTTGTGTTGGAAAAATTATGTGACGAAGCGTCTGGGATTTTGCTTCATTGTACGTTTTGATGGGGTTCCACTGGGAGAAATTCTACCATACACCACGTGAGCAGCAACAACCCATTTACTTTTCTAACGCAACATCAAGGTCGTGGTAGTTATTACCACTAATAATTGTTAGAAAGTTACTAATATTATATTTAATTTAAATTAATATTTATAATTTTTTAATAAAAATAATTTATAGATTAATTTTAATTTATTAAATAATAATTAATAATTATTTAATTAGTTATTATATATTTTTAATAATTAAATTAAATTAAATTAATATTTTAAAATATAATTTTGGTAATCTTAATAAATATATTAATGGCTATAACCACAGCTCTACAACAGTATTGAACCTTTCATTTTATAATTAAATTTTTTATATATTATTAAATTAATAAATATATATAATACTATAAACTTTATTAAAATATAAAAAGAATTCACAATTAAATCACATATAAAATTATATAAAAAAATATACCTAAAAATTAATATTTATTACTTAAAAATTAAAATTAATTTATAACTATTATTTTCAAATATCATAATCATTTATTTAAAAAAATTATAAATATCAATTAAATTAAACATAAATTATTTAACTGTAACAACTCTATAAATGACATAACCATACCCGCTGCTAGTAGTAGGTCAAAAAATTTAAAAAAATTCAAAAAACCGATAAAACCGTAATCGATTAATAGGGTTTGACTGAGTTTTAGTTTTGTTTGAATAAAAACCAAACCAAGTTGATTTTAAATAGTTTGGGTTTTATTTGCTAAGTTTAAAAATTAAAAAAATCAATCATTAAGGTGAATATAACCAAAAACATCCAATTTCAAAACCTTTCATGTACATTTTTTAATATTTTAAGATTTTTTTAAAAAAAAATTTGTCACTTTTCACTAAATTATTACATAGGTAAATTTTAGTTTTTTAGTAGTAAAAATTATTAAAGAATTATTAAAGAATTTTAAAAAATTACTAAAAAATATAAAAATAAAATTTTGATTAAAACTAAAACTAATATAAATAATTAGAAAATATAACTACAACTAATAAAATTTATCTCTTTTAATTAAATTAATATTTATTAAAATTTAAAACTCAAAATTTTAATTAACCAATAATTTAATTTCCATTGTAACAATCATGCCCACCCCTATCTGTTTTTTGGCTGTGTATCCCATTGTTAGAAGAATTTCTCGTTACATGGGGGGATGGGTGATGGATGTGATGTGCTGGTTTTTAGTTTCCAGATATTACGTTAGCTTGTGGGTCACAATAGGAATAAATAGTAAAATTTCGCAAGAGTCTCTAATTATGTTTTTGGGTTGAGAAATAAAAAAAAAATAAACTAATTAAATTATAATATTTTTAAAATTAAATAAACTATAATATTTTAAAAATATTATAATTTATATTAATTTAAAAAATCTTTTCCTTCATTTTTTTTCCATTCTCCTTAACCCAAATATATTATAAGTCTCCTCTGATTATATTTTTTCCCAACTTTTTCTTAACATCTATACCTGTCTAAATGTTTAAACCCCTAAATATATAGTAAATGTTTGATTGTTTTGTATCTTCTTGACGATTCTATACGTTTCCAAAGATTTTATCCAATTGGCAGGAGGATTTTTAGGCGGAACTTTTAAATTCACCTTTAAAAAAATATAGGTAGAACACATACACCTTAAAAAAAAAGGATAAATTATTCATTTAAATCATAAATCAATATAAATTATCTTTTTTTTTTTAACAAAAAATGTTAGAATTTTGTTTATCACGTTAGTATTTTTTAACGAAAAATGTTAAGAAAGGGATGATTTGTATTGATTTATAATTTAAAAGGTCAATTTGTTCTTACATTTTTTTTTAGGAATGGATGTGTCCCTACCGATATTTTTTTAGGATGTATATGAGGATTTTGTTGGATTTTTAAACCATTTTATTAACTTAGATTAACTCTGAAAAGAGGTCACATTGGAGATGTATTATTGCCTAATTTTACAAATCTACCTAACGACTTAAATAATTTATTAGTAATTTTTTTGAATTGAAAATAAAAAATATTGACTTTGAATTGTATAACATACAAGTGGGGTAAAAAAATAGATAAGAAAAAATTATCTTTAATTGTGCAATCAACATTTAAAAAAAAAAAGAACTTACAAATCTAATATGACTTTATCTATTTTCGTATTTTTAATTAGACTAGAAATATGGACATGGTCTCAGACTCCCATAATAGGTAAGAGACAATTTTTAATTTAAGCGTCTGCAAGATTTCATGAGTTTAACACATCCTCAACGATAAGACTTATATTTTAGCCCAAGATACCACTTGCAATAGAAAAATTAACAATTATTTTATTTTATAATTTAAATTGTTTTAAATTGTAAAATAAAAATTGTTTTACAAAAAAAACCCCAACATCAAGAGATTATTTTTTTATCAAACAATTAATGTTTTATAATTTAAAATAATTTAAATTATAAAACATTTTTTCTCGTAATATTAAATTTTCGATGATATGTAATGGAAAGAGGAAATATATTGAAATTAATTAAATTTTTTTCTTTTGAAGATATTTGTAAATCTAAAGATGAAGTGAAGCAGCTGCTATTTTTTTAACAAACTTTCTTATCACCTAAATTACTTTAGATTTTAACTGGGCATTAGGTTTCATAAGAAATTTTTTTTAATATTTATTTTTTTATTAATAAAATTTAAATTTAAAATTTTATAAATAATAAAAAAAATTTTATTTTATATCGGACCTTTCACATTTAGTAATATTAATCACATTAAAAAAAATGCACTCTCCCCTTCTCCTTGGATCTGGGTTCGATCCGCCCATGTTATTAGGTTAAAAAAAAAAAAACGTTTTTATTTCAACGACCAAATCATTAATAAAATAATGAAACCGTCTAAGACAGATGGCTGTCATAAATTTTCCATGGGAATGACATCACAGTACCATCATATACTGGACAGAGAACTTCTAGAAGATTTTTAAGCTCGTCATCTTCTCTTGGCCCTTGGACTTGTATTGGGCTCTGCCTTTTCAAAAGCGCTATCTTCTCTTTGGACTTGTATTGGGCTTTGCCCATTTTATTAGGCTTAAAAATTTATTAAAGTACTCTTTTCATTTTAAAATGATACGGAGTAATTGTTATTTATTTATTTATTTTTATCTATTAAGGGTGCATTTGAAATTGCAATTAGAAGATTTTTTATGTAGTTATGTAATATTTTTAGATATACATGTGTAGTAAATTTTTTTAAATTATTATTTTTTAAATTATAAAAAATCATAGTAGATCTATAGTAATTTTATATATAAAACCAGAAACTTTATTTTAAAACTTTCTGATTATAGGTTTTACAGAAAACACATAATTTTTAATATGATTACCAAAATTACCCATTAAAATTTAATTTCATATAATTTAATTATATCATAATTTATAATATTTTAATAATATAAATAAATTTAAAAAACCTAAATTATTAAAAAATAATAAATACTATATATTTTAACAATTATATATCTTATAATATTTTTAAAATTTTAAATAATAATTAATAAAATCTATCATATTTAATTTAAAATACTCTTAAAAAATAAATAACCAAACACCAAAATAACTTTCAACCACAGTTACAACATAACACAGTCTAGCACAACTACAGTTACAGCCACAGCCACAGCCACAACCACAGCCACAGCCGCAGCCACAATCATAGCTACAGCACTTTACAAGGATCCCAAACGCACCCTAAGATTGAAATATAATTAATTAATTATTTTTAAAAATATTAAAAATAAAAATATTTTTTTAACAGTATAAATAATTAAAATTAAAAATAATTATAAAATTAAAGTAAATTTTTTTTATCTCTCTTAAAAAAAAAGCAACTATTATTATAGAAAAAATCTTAAATAAAAAAATATCTATTATTTTATAACAAATAGAGTATAAAGTTTTGATATCTGATATTTATTTAAATATTAAAAATCAATACCAATTATCAAACCAATTTCTACTTATATACCTATTAAATATTATAATTTTTTATACAATTTGAAACATATTCAGACATATTATAGAACACAAACGTAAATGTATTACAAAACACAAACTTAACTTTATACATAGTACATAGACAACTACTACTGAAATTTCTAACTTCAGCAACATGCTTCCATGTTGTTGAAAGTACTTCCCATGTTGTTGAAAGTGCCTCCCATCTTGTTGAAAATCCTTTAACAATGTGGTTTTTGTTGGTAAAAGCCTCGTTGGAGAAGCCTTGCTGGCTAATACATCACCAACGAGCAAATTGTTGTTGATACTGTTGACTCAATGCAGTCCAAGAGGGGGGGTGAATTGGAGTTGGAGAATTTTTACCTCTTTGCAACCACCAAACAAAAATTAAAGAGAGAGTGGAGAAGAAGAGCTTGCACAATGATTTTATAGAGGTTCGGTTCAACCACTTGGAGCCTAGTCCTCTACCTTGGCTTCACTCACTAAGGATTTCCTCCACACTCTCCACTAACAAAAACAATGGTGGCTTAAAGGAGCCACTCAATTCTTTACAAGAAGAAGGGTGTTTCTCTCAAATCTCACCCCTTTACACTTAAACCCCAAAGATCCTCCCTACAAATCACTATTAAAGGAATCAACACACCCCCAAGATCACTCACTAATAGCACAAGAAAAGGATTACAAACAAAGATCTCTCAAAGATCAAAATCTCTAGTTAAAGCTCATGTAGGTAGGTAAAGATATTCAATACAATGCTTTCTAAATTTCTTCAAATCTGTTACCAACCATATTTATAGCCCCTTGCTCGAAAATAACCGTTTCTAGCCGTTGGGGGTCATTTAATGCTCTACAGGTCGCTTAATTTGAGTTGCAGAATTGTCAGTAAAGCCGGCTCTATACAGCTGGCTCACCATTTCTGCAGCCGGCTGTGCGGGTTTCTTGCATTCTGTTTTCTCCGTAAAGCCAGCTCAAAAATTCTGCAGCCGGCTTTGCGGGATTCTTGCACATTCTGTTTTCTTCCACAGCCGGCTGCAAAGCTTAGAGCTGGCTTTGGGATTCCAACTTTAAACCCATTAAGTAATCTTCAAATAACTTGACCGTTGTGCATTAAATGCACCCTCACAGCCGGCTGCAAAGTTGGAGCCGGCTTTGCGTCTTTGCTCCACGCGCGCTAAACAACGATCCTTTAAATCTTTACCTGTAGAGTCGGCTGCAGCTTCAAGAGTCAGCTCTCTGCACTTCCACAACCGACTGCAAGTTTTAACAACCGGCTCTCTGCACATTTTTAAGCCATTTGGTCTATTTTTAGTGCAGTCCAAGTTTACTTATTTTGCAATCTTTTGACATTTTAACTACACACTTAAATGAACCAATTAATCACTCAAATGTGTTTTGTAATCATCAAAATCATAGGTACAACAATCTCCCCCTTTTTGATGATGACAAAACACTTTGAAAATAAATTAATTAAAGCACATATATATTTCAATGAAAGCTCATATGGAAACAGACATTTCAGCATACTTTCTCCCCCTTTTTTGTCATCCATCAAAAAGCAAATAAGTTTAATCAACAAACTCCCCCTTAATTCATGTATACAACCTTTAAAACATCAAAAATATGTGATTTAAGCACAATATCCACAAATTGCTCCCCCTCAATGAAAGCACTTAAGATCATAATCATCAAAATCATAGGCAATCATAAGGTCATATACAATTAAAATCCACAATTCATGATAATAAGCTAAGAAATGTGCATAGATAATGAGGGCAAATTTTGGGAGAGAATCAAATCTTGAATGTGAAGAGAGGAAAATGGCCAAATATTAAAAATCTATCACAATCAAGAGGTTTTGTAGTACACAAAGATATCTCATTCCAAGCAACTATGAAGGAAAAAAAAATGTCTCTCTTTTTGTTATCCAACAAAAAAGTTTGAAGACCATATGAAGAGCAAACAATAGAGCTCCCCCTTAATAAAATGACTCATGAAAACATGAACATACTTATATAACAATCTCATTAGTAGCACCAAAAATAATGTTAATGTCATCATTAAGTACAACATGTATATTTCTTACCCTTGAGATATGTAATCATTTATCACATTACCTTTATAAGATCTCTCTTTATGGGTAAAATTATAACCTTTGTTTTTGTGCTTGTTGCATCTCCTCAATCTTGTTCTTTTCACTTGCTTCACATGGAGGTTGTGTGATGCTATTGCCTTCAATGT